GAGAGAGAGAGAGAGAGAGAGAGAGAGAGAGAGAGAGAGAGAGAGAGAGACTTATTTCCACTAGAAGCATTTTAAGATTCTGTTTTCCTCATGGTAACTTTTGCAATCAGGACACTGGCAAAATTAGAGAAACTAGAGTTTATCTCACAGCAATTAAACTAAGGAGTATCACTTTAGAATATATTGTTTCTGGTTTAGCCCAAGAAATTATTGTTCCTGCCTGGTATAAATTCCCAAATTTAAAGTTCAATTCTCTTTGAAATACAAATCAATCCAGCCTTTTCAACTTCGAAGAAGGACAAAAATCCACCGTTGTTGTCACGAGAGGAATATTCAAAATGCAGTGAGAGTGCAAACACAGGGAGAGTAGAATCAGATTCCCAGGTTGCCCTTCCATGGGCATTTCAAGCCTTCTACAGCCCACACCTGACAGAAACATGAGAAGGACTTCCCTTCCTTGCGTTCCAGTTCCAGCAACCAGGAATTTATCCAAAACTCCTCCACCCTTGCTGGGAGCAGAGCTGGTAGAGCTCCCGTGGTTTCATGGTGAAGATCAGATTCCTTTTCATAAATAAAAACCTTTGGTAAGAAGTAACACCCACAGAAAGAGGTAATTGCCACACAATGTTTACAGTGACATTAATTAATTTTAGGTTAAAAATTTTAACCTTTCAATATTTCTTTTAGTGGTTGATCACAAGAATAGAACTCCCAGCAGTAAAAAGAAGCATCATGGTTTTCACAGTACAGAAAGAGCCAACATCATGCTACTCTTGCCCCATAAGTGTTTTAAAACACAGAATCAGATGAAATAGGACCTACAGAAATGACTGGCTGTTGACTTTCTTTTTGGGGACTTCAACTTTTTCAATTAATTTTACAGCTTGTTCAAGCCTAGCATCCCATGAGAGAGTTACAGAGGAATTTAGCTGAGACAGAGCTAAGTTGCAAACAAAGCTGGAAAAGTTTGTGAAGTTTGAAAACAGCAGGAAAAATTATACAGATTATTTCATTGTGCCATGCAAAACTGTTGTATCACAAATTACAGACATGGTGCCTTTATGGCACTTTGGAGTTCTCTTAAGCATAAGATAAACACAAAATTCTCTTAAATTAGCTTGTAAAACTTGGAAAAGAATATAATGGATCTAATAAAAGCCTACCAAAAAAAAAAATCAAAAAAAAGTAAAATTGAGAATAAAAAGGGTTTGTTCACTGATTAGCTAAGTGAAACCCTGTATTATCAAAAAACATTCAAGGGGAAAGACTTCAAAAAGAATGCCAGTGCAGTCAAATCAAAACTGTAGGCAATCTAAGTTTTTTTCATCTTGTTTTTTATATTAACAAAAATTCATTCTAATAACAATAGTTTGACGAAGTATTCACGGTAAAGGGCTAAACTCTACTTAATGTGTTTAACTCATAAATGGGTCTCAATTATTTTCATCTATTATGTTTTCTTGTATTCAAAGCACCTTGAGTATTGAATGGTTATACATAAGATGCAACAGCATGGTGGAAAATCAGACTTGAATTATCCAAAACGCTGAAGATTTCCCCTCTGTGAAAGAAAGAAATTTGTGATCTTTACAGAGACATTGAAATCATTTCACATTCTGCCAAAAGAGGAAGAACACAGAAAGGCACACAATAATGCCTCCAAAATCCCAGCAGAAACAGCCTGCTGAACTATGGCAAGGGCAATACTTGTCAAAACAAACCCCCCAAACCCAACAACAGCGACTCTCCCCCCCATGCCCTCTGACAAAAACCCAAAGCAGTTGACAAAATTCTGAGAGATTATATCAGTTGATGACTGTCTATCCCAACTGGCTGGTTTATAGATGATCCTTCTCGGTGATAAAAGAACAACAGGCTCTAATTGGCAAGGTTAGCTACAATCCCAGGCTTATGCACGAGGATTATACATCCTGAAGTCTCCTCTGCTGGAAAGGTTTTATTTGGCAATAAAAGATTAAAAGTAACAGCCAGGGGCTCAGCTCTAATACCTAAATCTGAAGACCTTTTTAAAGTATATACATCCAGAACGTGCATCTGAGCCTTTTCCCCTCTTAGTGTAATCCTCTCAGAATTTTCTGTACCTCACTGAACTTTAAGCCTCCGAGACTAAAATTATACTGTATCTAGCACCTTTATCCTGAATTTAGCTTTAAAGAGTCCCTCTTGAAGATACCACATTACAGCTTACAGTATAGTGTGCATTCCAGATGCATAACTCCTGGATTCTTTCATCCTGTTTTCTAATATCAAAGCCAGAACATATAAGCACAGTTTCTGGGTTTACATCTGTATTATCTATTCCTTTCATTTTATAATGTATTTACACTAGGAATATTGAAATGTTCTAGATCGTAAAATGATCGCTCTCAGAGACATTATATCACTGTGAGCTGACGAAATATAAAACCACTGCACAGCAAATAAACAGTGTTGAAGTTGACTATTCAGAAAAAAATTGTTGAGCAGATTACTATTCTGTTGCCAGAAGGAAGCTGGGTAACACTTAAGTCCTGAAGTCAGAGAAGTACTAATCACTTCTAGCATCTTCTCCATGCACCCTCCTTGCATCCCACCAAGAAAGGGAACCAGCAGTTCCAGTGACCAGGAATTTATCCAAAACTGACTGTGTTGCAGGGATCAATACTGGCAAACTGCTGTGTACAGACCCTCTAACCAAAATTATGTACATTCTTCTAAGACAACTCAGCTGGTTTCTCCACTGTTGTCAGGAACAGCCCCAGAGGTGAGGCTCATCTGAGTTAATCTCAGATATCCACACTGAGCCAGCCCAGCTCTCAAGCCAGTGATGAGAAATAAGTATCAGTGGAGGGCAATGCAGGAAACCTCTCTAGGAATTTACTTTAGGATAAA